GTGCTCCCTTACTTCAACTGTTCCCATCACAGTGATCCTTTATATCGGGTTCCCACCAGAGTGCTCCGTTATATCAGGTGTCCCCTTCACAGTGCTTCTTTACATCAGGTGTCCCCACCAGAGTGTCCCCTTATGTCAAGTGTCCCCATCAGAGTGCCCCATTACAACAGGTAAGTACCATCACAGTTCCCCTCCTATGGGATTATGCCAGTCAGAGTGCCCCTCACATCTGTCTGCATCAGAGTGCTCCCTTACCAGGGGCAGACTGACCATTCAAGCGCTCAGGCACTGCCCAAGGGCCCAGGGTCAGTAGGGGGCCCCTGGTACCTTTTTATAGGCTTTTTTGGGTGTGCTTTGAGTGTGGACAAGGACACAGGGGCCCCATTATCCCCTATTGCCTGGGGGCCCCATGAGTTGTCAGTCCGCCCCTGTCCCTTACATCAATTGCCCCCATCAGATTGGCTCATGGATCAGTGAATGCACTCTCAGAGAACTAGGGGGGCACAACTAAAATCTGGGGGCACAGCCCACCCAGCACTCCCCTAGATCCTACAATATCAATAGGTAGTTTTACTTTGCTATAACTTTGGAGACCCCTTAGCCCAGGATCAAGAACTTTTAACATTCTCTGTTCAATCCGTTCTTGTCTTTCCCCTCTCCTTCTTCCCCCCCTTTTTATTTTACTGGCTCACCTGCAAGGATAATTTGCAATGTGTTTCATGTATTTCTTGGTTCGACTATATTATTTGTGTATTTCAAACGCTACTACTTTTCTCATTAGTGTCGGATATTAGACAATAGGTGTATAGTTCCTCAACCATTCTTTACACTGATTTATTGATACGATATGGTTGATGTACTTTTTTCAACATATCATTTACATTGTCACCAAGTTTATGTATGTTTTTTTCTGTGCACGACTGCTTTTGATCTGTCACCTCTTATTATTATATCCCTGTTTGTACACATGAAATTTCTAAAATTGAAACTTTTTCAATAAACATTTATTGAAAGTTAAAGGGCTGACAGACTTTAATCACTCAGTTAGGTGTAGGGCCAAGAGCTAGACTTGGTGAACCACAGCTTCCAAAGAAATAGTGTTCCAGACTTAAACTAGGAGGTCTACCTGCAGAAGCACAAGGCTTATTTTTCTGGGGAAGGAGTGTACTCTTACTCCCTGTGATCTCCTTAATGTACTTATCTAAGGAGGGACCAAACAGGACTCCCCCTACAAGGGCAGCCACAGGTATTCTGCTGACCAACATTTGAGCCAAAGGATCCTCTACATATGGATAAGGAAGAGTCTTATCTTAGAGATCTGGTTAAGCTTATCCATCAAGCCTTAAACATAGTGGTATAAAACTAAAGGTAAAACCTTTAGATGGTGGAGAATGAAGGAATCTGTTAAGATGAAGCTAGTATCTTGGCCCATGTGCTTAGTCCAGACTGCAAGAGTCTAGCAGAAGATCATGGAGGCAACTGCAGGTTTCATGACAGGGCCATTCTAAAAATTAGAGATTCTAAAAGAGCCTCTAATCTTTTAACCACTAGGTTCTTGAACACGGGATTAGTGCAGGACAGGTCGTTTATCGTCCAAATTTTTGTCCGCATGAAAAATCGGCCGATATTCACGCCGTTAGTTGGGCCAGCCCATTTGCCGTTTTTCGCGGATCTTCTCATTTATTTTTATCGGTCATGCTGGAAAATCCACGAAAAACGGCCATTTTTCGTGGACATTGGTGGCAGCATCGGCAACGACCAATTTTTCGTTTATCGGCCGACAAACGGCCCGTCTATGGCCAATCTAGGCTATAGAAAGATAACATGTCATTAAGACAAGAGATAGCAGGATCCACCACAGGTACAGGTTGCAACAAAACATTTAAAGTGTCACAGCCTGCTATCCTCTGTAGCCTCAACATAGGCATACCAGCACTCTGGGACAGATTTTAAAGGGCACAAGCTCTGCAAATACCTTGGCAGAAGTCTTCACCTCTCTGGGCAGGATTTAAGGGACTAGCCCCCATCCTGACTTAACCCCCCGCAATGGACATATCCCCAAAGGGGTCTTCAGGGACATGACTCCATCATTGCTAAACCATGGCCACAATTCACCATCTGGCAAGGTGAGCATCTATGCAGAATTCAGTGCCCAAAGCAACATTACAGACCAGTCCCACATCTTCAATCTGGTGGAGTGTGGGTGTGGTTCCTCAAGCCTCAGCCAAGAAGTTAACCAATCTGGAAGCTACAGAAAGAAGACTTAGTGGCTATGGTGCAGTTAGGAATTTTGACAAAATAAACTTAAAAAAAAAAAGGGTAAGTTTTTATTAGTAGACAGAAGAGGTCCATCAACTAAGGACAATAGCTAAAAACTGAGAATAGCTAGGAGTTGAAGGGGTTATATAAGGGATGTCCCTATAGCTTTCTTTTTTGCCACTGTCCAATATCCTGAATGTACAGTAGCTGCATGTAACCCATTAATAAAACTGAACTCCAGTTTTATGTCACTTTAAAATAGTTCACTTGGATCAAGCTGGTCCAAACATACTATTACCTTCCCTAGCAGATGTGCCCACTGTGGGCATTCCACCTCAGCCAATCAGAGAAAGCCTAGTATTCATTAGGAAAATACAAGGCTTTCTGTGAATCGCTGAGCAGCAGCGCTCAGCCTGACTCGATTTAGTCCCTGCCCCACTGTCGGAACACAGTACTACACAGTATGTAGCTGATGCTACACAGAGTTTATACAACACTCACAGTGAAGGTAATAGTTTGGATCAGCTAGGCCAAAAAAAACTATTTTAGAGTGATAGAAAGCTGACTTTATGCGGTAAAGACTAAAGATCCTGTTTCTTGTACTGCATGACTAAGAAACATACATTTCTACTTTAGAATTCTTTGGAAAACCAAATGTGTAAAACTATTTCTGCTACATTCATAACTTAATTCTTATGGCTGAACTAATTTCATGCTGCTGAGCGATGTAACCATTTCTAGCCAATTACCATATTTGCTGCATATTGATTTTAATAAGTTGCAAATGAAGTGATTATCAATAATTGTTAAGCAGTATGAAATTAAAATCTCCCATGTAGTTAAGCCATAATGGCCTGCTTTCACACTTATATGGAGGACCTGGCTTGCCACTGTGATAATTGAAAGTTTCTAAGAGGACTTGTCACTTGATATCTCCTTTTAGGAGACAATTTCTCAAATGGGTATGCGTTGTTCTACGTAATATTGTAAATGTCTATTTTCTATGAAATATTGAATCATATGTTTTATTATTTAATGTACAGTTTTGAGACTTCAACAGAAGGCTAAAAATCTAACCAACAAAAAAAGTCTGTTAAATGACATTTTTGTCCCAACCTATGGTTCTCTCCCTAAGGCTACATTCATTCACACTTTCAATAGTAACTTTAGCTTTTCTAAAGGAAAAATGATATGATCCCTTTTGCTGCCACCATTTCATATGTCAGAACTAAGTGGGCGGTTTTACACAAACTTTCAGATCCTGCTGTTACTTTCCCTAGTCACTGTGGTTGGGATAGAAGCTAATGGGGCACAATCTTCACTCTATTAGATTTAATGGGGGGATCAGTGAGATATCAAGAGTATAAAAGACCCCTAAAGTCTCATCAAAGAGAATCTGTTACAAAACAAGAATTAGGGTTTTTTTGTCCCTCGTGTGATAAAATAAAAGTTTAGTGAAAAAGGTGTAAAAAATAAAGTTACACCCAAACATTTAAATCCCCCAAAAAAAGTGTTGCGCCACCCCACCCCCACATACACGCACATACGAATGTAAACACGCATTGGGGCGCCTAGGTCTGAAAATGTCAATTGCTGTACATGTTACATATTGTTGCACACTCAGGAGTAACAGCAATATTTCTAGGCCCATTATTCACAGAATTCTGTTTTCTCAAAACTAAGCCAAACCGAGCACACCTAAACGCAGATAAATACTGAGTTTGAATGACGCCATTGAAAAAAGTAATTACCTGCATTTACTGTATATGCATATAGACATATCCCCAGTATGAAAGAGGTTTAAAGTTGTAGCATAATAGCCATGCAAAGTAGCATTCGCTAGTCCTTCCTTGGGAGTATCCCCAATCACATAACATAGCACAATCAATAACTCAGTTTAATAAGGAATTATTTTCTTACAGATAATGATAGCTATCATTAGAATAACTAAAACAATATTCTAACAGATATTCATTAGATTTGGTTTTGCCTGGATTATACATTTAGGCATTTTTGACATGCAAAATATGAATGACACCTGTTTTTGTTACTCAAATACCTATCTCTGTAGGCATAATTACAGTGGAAGAATAACCCTAGTAAGTAGATTACTTCAAAACATAATTTTTAAAGTAGAACAAAAAGCAAAACTTTTTTTTTGTTTTGGATAGAGTGAAGAGAGATTAGAGCACCTGTGTCCCTCCCTCACCCTCTCTATTTGTCCTGTTTACCTTTTTCATTGAAAGTGAAAGTAAAAGAGAAGCCCAAATTTTAGGTTGACACCAGAACAGTAATAGAGGGGAAATCTTCCAATAGGGACACAAGTTCTAGTGGCCCTGGTGACACCCCAGGATTTCCTTACTTTGGAGGGATTTTTGCTTACTTCCTGTTTTGACTATGGGACAGGAAGTGAAGGGAAATCTCCCCTTTGGCACACAGATGGCAAAAAAAACTGACAGGCCTATAACCCTTCCCTTACTATATCCAAAATTTAATTACACTGTAAACAAATCTTTTGTTCATTCTAGAAACACACAACTGCAATTATGCAGGAATGTAAATGATATATTCAGTGTTATATGGTTCCCAATAGCCTTTGTAAGGCAAACCAATAAACATTATACTGTCCCCGCATGTTAACTCACCTTCTTGTCATCATATGAGATGTTTCTGATGTCACCCCATTTAAATGATTCCAACGGTGTTATTTTGTTATCTTTACTATATATATGGATTCCCTTAGCATCCACTCCAAGAAGGATATCTGAGTCATTCTTAGCTAGCTGGAAAAGCGTAAAAAACCATATGTTCAATATACTGTTCTTTTTTTCTCAAGAACGAACACGTTAATTAAACTCTACATGGCAACCATTACTTTCAACCTTTAAATATAAACTGTCTTGATGTGCATTCATATTGCATAATTTTACAGAAAACAAACATAGCCTACATAAGGCTTTACACTTTTGACTTTTCCACATTTAGTATTATTATAGCATGGAATTAAAATGCATTTAACTGGGTTTATGGCATCAATCTACAGAGGATTACATCATGATGTTGGACGTGAAAACATCTTTGTTAGTTCCTAATGTTTTAAAAAGAAGGAATATATATTTATTACATAAGCATGCACCCCCGCTGTCCTATCCCTAAATAAACTTTGATGAAACCAACTTCCTAGAGAAGTTAACTGAAACCTCATGTGTACAACAAAGTGAAACATAATCTCCAAATAAATACACGTGTTTCTGGAAGGCTCCTTTTTTAGGTGACCTAACTAGCAACATAAAAACCAAGCAGCTATGAAAACATGTGGGGTTTATAAGAAAAAACATCCAAAACTTTAATCCTGCATAGTGGACCAATAAACGCAATATTAAAAAATGGAAAGAATATACTATAGCTCAACTGCTACTCTGCCTAGTGAAGACTTTCTATTTAAACGAAGAGATTGGCCATTAGGAGGGCATCAGTCAGAGAAGAACATTGCTAACCTTCAACAAGATGCAAAGATCCACAGCTAAAATGGGATTAACCATCCACAGAAATACTGTTATTTAGCAACTGCTAAAAAAGCTCACATCAAATCCAATTAGCAGTATGGCAAAATCATTGTGAGAGACAGAACAAGCTTGCGGAAAAAGATTGCTCATTAGACCAAAAGAGAACTTTTTGTCCTTAGAGCAAAATAACTATAACTTGAGAAAAGACAACACTACTAATCACCCTGAGAACACTATCCACACAGTGAATTATGGTGATGGGAGCATCATATTGTTAGGATGCTTTCAGTTGGAAGCAACTGGGAAACTGGTGAAGACTGAGGGCAAGATGAATGAAGCAAAAACACAGGACAAATACATAGGTAAACCTGTTTCAGAGTTCAAAACACCTAAGACTAGGGAGGAGAGGTTCTTTTACCATCAGGACAATGACCCTAAGCACACATTGTTACATGTGAATGCTTTAAAACCAAAAATCTGAATGTCTTAAAATGACCCAGTCAAAACACAGACCTCAACCCAACCGAGAACCTGTGATGCTTTAGATAACTTAATTCTTACTAGCTCCACTTATCGGAGACTATTTTGGGCTTCTTCTGCTCTCAGGCCTGGTACACACATTCAGTTTTTTTCTCATTCAACCCAGCGGGTTGAACAAAAAATAAAATGAGAGATCACTGTGCTAAATAAGCAATGCTAGTACTCTGATCCCTCCCGCTGTGCCTTTGTGTTCTGACAGAGGAATTCCCCCCCCGCCAGAACACACTAATCAGTGCTTGCAGCCATTGGCTGTGGGCACTGACCGGATGCTAGTTTTCCAGTATGTCCTTAGACCAGCTTCTGTCCAAATGTCAGCCGGTTCAGCATATTTGAACCGCATGTACCTAGCTTTAGGTGGCCTTCTTTTCCTATTAAATTTGTAATATTTGCCAGAGTATGAACTATTACAGCATACTCATCAAGTCATGCTGCACTACTGCTTGCCCTCTTTTCTTCCAGGTACACAGAACTTTGAAGGGGACCTGAGGCATGAAGTATTGGAGCTCATAGTATGATATCTTTCCCATACCATGCATATGATAAATTGCCCTTGATAATATATGCATACAATTAAAAAGTTTCCACCTTTGGGTGATGATTGTGAGAGTTTACCATTTTCCTTTTCTATGAGAATTTAAGTTGTTGCAGGTTGCTATAAGTAACACCCACACTGTAATTCACTCTGCATTAAATTTGCATTAATGAAGTCAGGTCTATAGCAGTGGCATCATGTAAACTAAGTAGGCCATGATTTTTTTTTTTAAATTACACCAAAACTAATGGATAGAAAGAATAGCTTTGACAAAACTCGGGTCCCTTGGATCAAACATTTAATCCCACCTACCTTTAACAAGTGGCTACCTGTAAGTTAAGTTATGATAGGTTTAGAGGTATCTTCATTTTGAATGACCTTAGCAGGCAATAGATACCCTTTTCCTCCTTGACACCCCCCCCCTGTTCTCGTGTTCCTTTAACCCTTATTCCTTCCCTCTCTTTCTCTTGTTTCTAACCTATCTTTCCTCTGCTGTCCCTTCATTTACTCTTTGTCTAAATATACTCAGGTACAGTTAGCCAAGGTTAGCCATATGGTGATTTTGCGCCATCCCATTCTCATATTTTGCATGCTAGTTTCTAAGGGGTACAGTGTGTACTTATGTGTTACGTATGTGTTTTATACATGTACAACTGGAGATTTACTTTTTATTGTGTCTAATCTTGTATCATGCTAATTTATGTATTGTAAGAACCCAATAAGACCCTATTCAACAAAAAAAAGTAAATGTACATTCAGAAGCTCGTTAATTACCGTATTTTTCGCCGTATAAGATGCACTTTTTCTTCCCCAAAAATGGGGGGGAAATGTCAGTGCGTCTTATGGAGCGAATATGGAGCGGCCGGTCCAGTATTTCCACCACGGCCGTGTCAGAATACCGGGCCGGGCCGGTCAGCTCTGCAGCCGGACCTTACCTGTTCCTCTATCCAGCGGCGTGCTGTCTTCCCGGCTTCTGTAGTGTGGGCACTGGGCATGACAGCCGGGTGCAGAGTGCGCATGCGCAACAAGCGGTGCTTTTTGTGAATGGTAAGGCGGTACCTGGGACACATGACAGATCCCAGAAGCCGCCGGACCAATCACAAAGCGCAAGTGCTTCTCGCTCATGCGCACTGGGCACCCGGCTGTCATGCCGAGCGCCATTACAGAAGCCGGGAAGACAGCGCACGGCTGGATCGAGGAACAGGTAAGATCAAACAAAAACTCCGCGGAAGTAAGAGCGGGTACCTGTCAAATTCAGGTACCCGCTCCCCACCTCCCCAAAGGTCAGCAGTCATCTGTACTGTCCACAGTCTCTGGTCATCCCTGTGCTGTCCACAGTCTCTGGTCATCCCTGTGCTGTCCGCAGTCTCTGGTCATCCCTGTGCTGTCCGCAGTCCTGGTCATCTCCTGTACTGTGTCTGCAGTCCATTAGTTCAGAATTTTTTTTTCCTGTTTTCTGCCTCTAAAACCTAGGTGCGTCTTATGGTCAGGTGCGTCTTATACGGCGAAAAATACGGTGTATATATATTGCAGGTTAGTGTCTGGAGAAAAACTTATTAAAGTCTGCTTGAAATAGCTTTCAAACAAGCTAGAGACATTGTCATTTATATGAGCCTTGTGGGTATGTTTGTTTTAAAAAGGGAAACATGCATTACTCACTGTGATGGGAAAATAGTTCACACCATACATGTCCAAGTCTTGTGCAATTTTTAAATAATTCATCTCTGCTTCATCCCTACAAAATGTGAACATTGTATAGATCATTATATAGAACATGCTGCAACAAGAATCTATTTGTTCCGATTAGTGTAGTATTCAGACAAATCACAAACAAGATCTGAATTATATTAAAGCATATCTAAATCCAAAAACCAAAACGTAATATATCATGGATTACCAATTCTTAGAGTTGGTGGCTGTGTTAGTTTTCTTTTTCAAAAGGTTGTTTTCCTTTATTTTCACATTTTTGAGATTTGTATCAGAATCAGTAGGATTTGTACTTTCAGAAGTTGAACATAGTTTGAAAAATAAAAACTAATAGAGTTACTACGTTTATATTTTTTTTTTTTTTGGTTTATGTATATTTTGTTTATGGTTTGCTCCATTGTCCCATTTCTTTTGCTGTTTAGCTTATTTATTTTATTATTCATTTATTACAGGTACTTATACAGTGCCCTCAATTTCCGCAGACCTTTACATATATATATTATACATTCACATCTGTCCCTAAACCTCAAGGGATGTATAATCTAAGCTCCCTAACTTTCATTCATACATATACTAGGGCCAATTTAGACAGGATCCAACTAACCTCCCAGCATGTCTTTGGAGTGTGGGAGGAAACTCACACAGGCACAGGGAGAACATGCAAACTCCAGGCAGGAGGTGCCATGGCTGGGATTTGAACCAACGACCTTAGTACTGCCAGGTGGAAGTGCTAACCATTTAGTCACTGGCTTATTCGTTTATTCTTTTGCCTTACATTTTTATTAAACACCTGCTATATTACCAATCAGGGAAACTCATTCCTTATATGTCCTTGAGTCCAACTATGTATTTAGAGTATGTGGGATTGTGCAGAAACACAGCCAAATATCTTGTGCAAAGAATCTAACAATAGAATGCCACCTGATCCATTTTAGCCTGTCTCCTAAAATGGATCAAGTTCACCTTTTAAAAAAATAATAAATGCACATCTTTTTGCAAGTAAATAAAATTTACATTTTTTTTTTTTTTTACTTGGAACCTGTAAAGCATTGCACTCACGATCAGCAGATTGCGGGTGCCATGCAGGACTCCTGCACACTTGTCAGTGTATTTGTCCGCTTGTACCTTGTATGGGCAGGCAGATACACACTGACAGGAAGAGAGAATGAACTACCACAGCGTTCAAGTGTGCTGTGGCAGTTCATTGAGAACTACAAGTCTACATCTGCAAAGGCTGTAGGGACTAGTAGTTAACCAATTCACAGAACAATGTGAATAGATGACGCAGCCAAGCGGGCAGAGCCCCATACAGCCACATTTTTTTCAGATCGTGACGGGGAGATCACACATTAACTGCCACAATGGGAGATCGGGGGTGTGGGGGCTGGTGCAATGTTACTTGTTACATGTTACACCCTGAATATGGGTTACATGTTACAAAAGGTGAACTTATACTTTCATTGTTAATCAATGTTACTCATACCTAGAAATTCCTCTGTGACCTGCATGCACAGCTGTTATTTTCTCCTGCCACATTTCCGATGTCATCTGATATTGCTGCAGAACCTACAAAAACACATACTTAATCACAAACTAAAGACTATAACTATTTTATCGATCAATTGTACAGTGACCTTAACAATATAATACATACTCGTTTAGGTAACAACTCATCTTGAGATAGAAATCCAGGCTGGTGTATGTTAGGGTTATAGTCACCATACTGCAAAAACAAAAATAGTGTGTTGTAATATTAAAAGATGTTTAAAAATTACTTGGTAAAAGCAGTCTTTTATTGAACATAGTAAAAAAATGTTTAAAAAAATATGCAAAATGAATGATTAATGCTAATATTTCCATGTGCAATGGAATGACTAGTAGATAAAAGATATCTGAACATATCAGCCAAGCCCCTAGACTGCCATTTCCTTAAGGGTACCAGTGACATCAGCAATATTGATATCTGCCTGTAGGTCTATTAGCATCAAGCTACTGTTTCAAGATAGAGAGGACCATGAAAACCTAACCCTGGTAATAAGAAGCATTAAGCTTTCTTTTTCATTTGCTCCCCAGGTGTAGGAGGACTTTGATATAATATACATGGGTATAAGTGTGTGAACATCTATCACATACAGTTGCAAGAAAAAGTATGTGAACCCCTTGGGATTACGTGGAGTTTTGCATGAATTTGGGCATAAAATGTGCTCTGAACGTCATCTAAGTCACAACAATAGAAGAACACAGTCTGCTGAACATAATACTACACAAACATTAGATGTTGCCATGGTTTAATTGCACATAACGTAAACATTCACAGTGCAGGGAGGAAAAAGAATGTGAACCTTTGGACTTAATAATTGGTTGACCCTCCTTTGGCAGCAATAACCTCAACCAAATGTTTCCTGTAGTTGCAGATCAGACCTGCACAACGATCTGGAGTAATTTTGGACCAGTCCTCTTCACAAAACTGTTTCAGTGTAGCAATATTCTTGGGATGTCTGGTGTGAATCGCTCTCTTAAGGTCATGCCACAGCATTTCAATCGGGTTGAGGTCAGGACTCTGACTGGGCCACTCCAGAAGGCGTATTCTGTGCTGTTGCAGCCATTGTTTTGTTGAATTACTTGTATGCTTTGGGTCATTGTCCTGTTGCATCACCCATCCTCTGCGGAGCTTCAGTTGGCGGACAGATGGTCATACGTTTTCCTGCAAAATGTCTTGATAAACTCTGGAATTCATTTTCCCATCAATGACAACAATCCATCCAGGCCCTGAGGCAGAAAAGCAGCCCAAACCATGATGCTCCCTCCGCCATGTTTTACAGTGGGGATGAGGTTTTGATGTTGGTGTGCTGTGCCTTTTTTTCTCCACACATAGTGTTGTGTGTTCTTCCCAAACAACTCAATCTTGGTTTCATCTGTCCACAGTATATTTTGCCAGTAGTGCTGTGGAACATCCAGGTGCTCTTTTGCAAACTTCAAACGTGCTGCAATATTCTTTTTGGACAGCAATGGCTTCCTCCGTGGTGTCCTCCCATGTACTCCATTCTTGTTTAATGTTTTCCTTATTGTAGATGTGTCAACCAAAATGTTAGCATGTGCCAGAGATTTCTGTAGGTCTTTAGCTGACACTCTGGGATTCTTCTTTACCTCATGCAGCATTCTGTGCTGTGCTCTTGCAGTCATTTTTACAGGACGACCACGCCTAAGGAGAGTAGCAACAGTGCTAAACTTTCTCCATTTGTAGACAGTCTGTCTTACTGTGGACACATGAACATCAAGGCTTTTGGAGATACTTTTGTAACCCTTTCCAGCTTCATGCAAGTCAACAATTCTTGATTGTAAGTCTTCTGAGAGCTCTTTTCTGTGAGGCATGATTCACATCAGACAGTGCTTCTTGAAACCAGTAAACCCAAAACAGGTGTGTGTTTTTTAAGGGCAGGACAGCTGTCAGCAACACATCCAATATCATCACACTGATTGGAGTCAAGGTCGGCTCACTCCTGGCTCCAATTAGCTCTGGGAGAAGTCATTAAGCAAGGGCCTCACATACTTTTTCCTCCCTGCACTGTGAATGTTTACATGTTATGTGCAATTAAACCATGGCAACATCTAATGTTTGTGTAGTATTATGTTCAGCAGACTGTGTTCTTCTATTGTTGTGACTTAGATGACATTCAGAGCACATTTTATGCCCAATTCATGCAAAACTCCACGTAATCCCAAGGGGTTCACATACTTTTTCTTCCAACTGTATAAGCTTGTTGGACATCATGGGCACTATTATGAATTGGCCCCTACACTCTTTTGGCTCTGGTAAGGATGTTCGATGAGAAGACCTGGCAATCGGCATTCCATAAAATTGCAAAGGTGGTCAATATGACTAGGGTCAGGTCTCTGTGCTAGCCACACAAGTTCCTTTTCCCCAAACTCATCAAACTATTTCATTATAGACCAAGCTTTTGGTCACAGTTATGCTCAAACAAAAAAGTATCACCCCAAACAGTTGCCTCAGTGTGTACAATTTTCTAAAATATGAACAAAATAAAAAATTACATACAGTATATGATGCAAATAGGCTGTTAATTTTTAGGGTGGAACATGTAACATGTTCCCATAGCTGCAGCCACGCCCATCAGCACTGGGTTCCGCCCATGCGGTTGCGTCATTCATTCAAGGACTTCCATAAATGAATGACCTGCAAGTCCCGACAACCTCAGTGGCTGTGGGCTTGTAGTTTTCAATGAACTATCATGGTGCTGTGGAGCGCCGTCGTAATTCATGGAAGCTTCCTGTCAGAATATCTGCTCGGCCAATATTCTGACATGTCTGCAGGAGACCTGCATGGCATCAGCGATCTACTGAACTCTGGTGAAATGCTTTACAGGCTCCTTTGAACAAAAATAATATGTGCACATTTATTTACCTGCAAAAAATGTGCATTTACTATTTTTGGCCAAAAGGTGGACTTATCCTTTAAATAAATAAGACTACACAGTTCTAATGTATTCCTAACAACCACGTTCTTACATAAGCCCATGATTTTTTTATTTAATTTGATCACTCTTTTTTTATTTAATGAGGGTTAAGTTTGGCATTTCCTGGAAGCAATACAATTTTATAAGAACATTTAGCATTGTTGTATTTTTTATGGTCTTACCTTAGCTTGCACAGCATAGGAGGCCAGAAGAACAGATGCCTCTGGAGAACAAATTATTTCTTCATCCAGAATTTGTTTTTTAACCTAGCAAAAAAAAGACATATATTAAAGAAGTGCAGAAGCAGTTATTGCATCTAAACATTCTTAATAAAAGAACTACAATTTCAGAGAAATAACAGCCTTCTCTGTGTACTTCTAACAGTAACTCAAATACAGCAATATTTAAAAAAAATTATACTCCTCTGTTGCTACTTCAACTGCTCTTTATGCAATGGCTGGCAGGTTTACGTCATAGAAAAATCTATATTAAAACATGGCATCCCTTACTGCCTGTCCTATAATGTGCTGTGTTCGTCACCTGTAGCCAATAGATGGTTGTGCACTTACAGAAAGTACATTCAAAGAGCAATTTATTAGGAATTTTATGCTAATACTGGGTAGGGCCTTCATTTGCTCTCAATTCTTTGTGCCATGTATTTCACAATTCACAAACATTCCTTTGAGATTCTGATCCATGTTGACATGATTGCATCATGCAATTTCTGCAGATTTGGCAGCTGTACATTCATCCTGCAAATCTTCTTTTCAAACCATCTTTAGGGTATTTTATTGCATTTAGATGTGGTGAGCTTTTTCAGCCTTCAGCTTTCCAGTTTTAGTGAGCCAGCGCCCACTGCAGCCTCAGCTTCCTGTTCTTGGCTCCACCTCAGGGTTCAACTCGTACAGTCTGAGATGTTTTTCTGGTTTACAGCCAGGCTATTCTTTTCTGATTACATCAACGTGGCAATTCCATCTGCAGAACTGCTGCCACTGGATATTTTTTGCTTCCCCCACACAATTCCAAGTAGACTCGAGATTGCTGTGCATGAAAATCCCAGGAGATCAGTTACGGAAATACCCAAACTAGCCTCTCTGCCAGCAACATTCATGGCATTGTCAAAAACTGAAATCACATTTTTCTGACATGAGCATTAAAAGGAGAAGACTGGCCAAAGCTATTTTGGGCCTACTTCTCCTATGGATCACAGGAGTGCACTTCGTTCTGCACTCCTGTGACCTGTTTTCAGCCAAAAACGGGCTAGAGCCCACCGTCGGTTGATGTCACTCAGCCAGTCAGGCTCTAAAAAGATCCCAAATTTAAAGTGGAGATCCACCCAGATGCCTGGACCGGCAGCTGGCTAAGCTTCTTAGTGTGGGCTGAGAGCCAAATCCAGCCGATCCTGCCACCTCTACAGCTCAGCACACCAGTGAGGTGACTGACAGTCCCAGACTCACTGCAGACTGAATACTGAGAACTGACTGATCAGCGGTCTTTGACAATCGCAGTACTTTCTGGATGCCGATCGAAGACTGTGTTCAGGCCTAACACTTGGACAACCCTTATCTCCATACCTGCAGGGTGTGAGCTGCACAGATTGAACTTAACCCTTCACCATTGGATTCCCAGCAGTCAAGCCCCTCTCTAGTGGTACCTCCCCCCCCCTTCCACCAGGGAGTCATCTGAGTACATTTAACTATTTGGTACCTACCATTCTTTGCATATTCCAGTGTTATTGTTCATAACTGTTTACTTTCGTTGTCTTAAAGTACCTAATTACCTGGTGTTCCGTCATACCAGCCTTGGATACTGTCTCAGGGTTTGGCTGAGTGACACCTTTGAATCCATTGTTTTCCTTGGTCAATACAGAGGTTTGCTGTGTTCAGCTTACATTGTGTCTGTGGTCAATTTAAAGGGGTAAACATAATTTAAAAACCTAGAGTGTCAGAAGGTCTGGGAAGTTCCTAGAGTCAGGGCAGCACAAGAGGACAAGCAATATTTAGTGGCCCTTACGGGGGTAGCACTACACTTAGTAAGTGAGAGAGTAACCATGTCCACATTCACCTAATTTAAAGGATAGCTTTACTTTTTCCATCTTTAAATGTATCCAGGCATACCAGACAACGTTGCAAATATAACTTATTAAAGAGTAACTATACTCACCTCCACTCCAGTGATGCAAAGTCCACAAGCTCTCTCACCGCCAACATCTTTTGCTGGTTTCTTTGGGGTTCATATTCTTAAACCACCTCAACTGACCAGGCTGGGATAACATAATTCACGTAGATGCATATCGAAATTATTTAACCAGTACCCAACATATGCCAGATACAGTGTAGTTTGCAAGGAATAAGGTAATAATCCCGGCAGAAGAATAAAAAACGTTCTGCTTGCAAATTTAGGATTTCTCATCTAAAGTTCCACTTTAAAGCCTGTGGTTTGAGAATTGCCAGAAACAAACCCATGAGAGAGTAACTTTGCTTTCTTTACATCCAGCCTGCCAGCAGTTTGTCCTGCATGGTGTAGAGAGCAATTTTCATATCAGTGCTCTCTGATATTCAGGGCTCTTAAAGTGTGCTACATAACATCCTTGATGAAGTGCAATTACAAGAGAAAAAACTAATTTCTGGTACTTCTGTTTTTTTTCATCAATGGCCCTTTCACAAAAATTGCCCATAAAAGAATTTCTATTTGTTTTTATAAATGAAAGTTTAATATGCCATTTTAAATGAACAGGTAACTATTAATCACTCATTCATGCATCTAATTTATCCAAACTTCTCATTAAGGTAATAACTCGGCATACATGTATCTTACAGAAAATTAAAATTATTTATGATCAAATATGGAAATCCATGTTGAACAGTAACAGTAAATGTGTCTTCAAATGAGTAATTGGCTCTGCATGAAGCAGACGTTCTCAATTATTCATTGGATTTTAGAGACATTAAATTAGACTGCAGTTAACACGCACAGATGATATTTCCCGTTTACCATCAAATATTAGCTTCCATTTTATGGCTCATTAGCAGCTCATGTTAGAGTAACATTTAAGGGAATAAATGCAAAGCCATAAATGGAATGCAAATGCTTTCATTAAAAGGTAATTACACTGTGTCTGCAACCAGATCGAGACTGTTAAAGAATTCCCCAAATCTATAACTTTCAATTTATTTTAAGATTATTGTTAACTTATTTTAAGTTATTTATAACTGTGTATTCAGCATCTTACATTAAGCACAATGGATATATCTAGAGCCAGTACAAGCATACGGCAGCAAGAAAGATAACAGGTGTTGTTTGTGCTGTATAACTGGTTGACAATGCTGGACCACAGTTGGGAGACAATTGTCACCCTATAATTAAAATTGCCCAAAATTGTCCAGCTAACAACCTTAATAGTAGGGTCACCACCAAGGGTGGACTGACAACTCATGGGGCCCCCGGGCAATAGGGGATCATGGGGCCCCTGTGTCCTCATCCACACTCAAACCACACCCAAAAAAGCCTATGAAAGGTACCAGGAGCATCTCATGGGGCCCTCTACTGACCCCCGGGCCCTCGTGCAGTGCCCAAGTACCCGAATGGTCAGTCTGCCCTTGGTCACCCCTGGAAAGCTGCAGATTTAAACAGATGTAATGCAACTATTGAAATTACATGGTAAAGCTTATATGACATTTTAGTGATTGAGTTTAGACCTACTTTCTTTCATAAAATAGCTTATTTTGCATCAATGTATGTTTTTTTGTTAATTTTTAGTGAAAGCAAAGTTGAGCTGAATTACTAAGGGGTAGAGTTACTAAAACTGGAGCACTCAGAATCTGATGCAGCTGTCCATGATATCCAATCAGTGTCTAACGTCATCTTGTTCAATTACGCTTTGGCAATAAAACCTGCAAGCTGATTGATTTCTATGCAGAGCTGCACCAGTTTTAGTAAATAAACCCCTAAGTGTCAATTGTTTCCAAATGTCAGGGACATCATTTGGTGCTGGATTTAAGTCTGGCTTAGGGCACTTATGCTGTAACTGAGAAGAGGTTTCTGTGACTCAGTCAGCATTCTGGAAAGCTGTCATGTGAAACATGATTTCTCTTTCTTTTCTTAGGGCCTTGTCCTGACCTTAAACTTGATTTAATTACTTGACTCCATATTACTTTTGGAAATCTGTCTGACTGTCAGCTGATGCAAGAAAGGAAATCTAAAGGGCCACAAGCTAGAAGCCACATGGCCAAGTTCCAGACAGCTAAGCAGTGAGCAGTAGTAAAGGACATATATCTATTAGTAGTGACATAGAGGATCCACTGTTACTAGTGACAACCTTCTAGATCCAGTTGAAGAGTTTCTATATAGCCAGCCGGAAAATATGTGTGTGAAACAGTGACCCATTCTCGGGGAAGGCCAATATGGCCCAATCCTTATTATCTTAATATCACAACAGACTATCAAAAGTCTAGCCTGCAGTTTTCTGTTTGTGAAATACTTACCTCTTGCTGCTGTGGTTCTGCTAGATATGTGATTCAATTCACATGTGCTGCTGGCTTCTGTGTTCACCTATTGCTTGCTGTACTGTGGATTTATATCCCTTTCCCTTCTATCACCTCCTGGCCTGCCTCCCAGTCTGCTTCCCTATATATACACACACATGCTCTGCGCAGCCCTTGTTGCTTGAGCAACTTCCTAGTTCTCTGTGCTCCCTTTCTGCCTTATATTACTTGTACTCTGTGCCTGGCTACCCATGTACTAATCCTGGCTGCATCTTCCATTTTTGCATGCCTGCCACCCGCCCTGACTTTGGCTCATTTACTGGATCCTCTTCTGTCTCCTGCCATCTGTATGGGAGTGGTTTCCGCATTTTCAACTGAGCGTACTTGTGGGCTGGAAACTGGTCCCAGTTTACTGCTAGTCCATCCCCACCATCAGGGGCCCTGGTGATAAAGTAGGCTGGGGCTTAGACTCCGCATCCTGGAAAACCCTGAGTTGCTTTCTGCAAGGATTCACTACCATAGAAACCTGACAGGTGAGGGGTTAGCCAAACTTAGAGTTAACATACTGGATGAAAAGCTAATTTAATTTCACTCCAACAGTTGTTGATCCAACAGCAGACCAGGCATATGGGCTGGTATTTGAACAACAAGGGAACAGCATTCTTCTGTGCCACCTGTAATATGAATGAAAACCAGCATGTTATTCAGTATGGGATGCTTCAAGAAAGGGGCCTAAAAAACTCAAAGCTATGCTAACCCAGTTAGCATAGCTCTGAGGAAGGGGGTACGGCTCCGAA